CACAGTGATCTATATACTTTACTTTTGAGTCCTAAACAATATCAGAGGTAGTGTTTGAATTGATGTTTATTTATCACAGTGATCTATATACTTTACTTTTGAGTCCTAAACAATATCAGAGGTAGTGTTTGAATTGATGTCTATTTATCATAGTGATCTATATACTTTACTTTTGAGTCCTAAACAATATCAGAGGTAGATGTATATTGTTTAAATTATTCTCTACTTATTACAGTGACCTCTATTTAAGTAGGTATTTGAAGAATATGAAACATTGATGACAATACTTTATTCTTATGAATTATGCAGTGTGAAAAGTACTTAACATAATGTACGTTTTTACTTATCACCAAACTTCTTAATTTTCGTCGAGAACGAAGAGTCTATCATTTGATTCGTTACCTGTCACAGAGTACAGTAGACCAGTTTTAGATAAATATACCCCGCATTAGTTAAGCTCATTAATAAAGGACAACTTATACACCATATACTTAACTTATGAACCACAATTACAAGATGTCTAGTATTGTTTTTAGCTTTGATTTTCTCCAAGATTACTAATATTCACGGCTGGAACTTCCCGAAACTGGTCTGATTTAGTGAAAGTTTGCTTCACTTTTCTTTGTCGACAGAATTTAGAGCGCTGGAGTTGGGAGAAAAAGTTACAACAAAAGAGTTAAGCAGAGAGCGTTACTGCTTACTCATAAAAACATAAAGTATGAAACCATTTCTTGAATCATAAAATACATCATAACTGGCTGCCCAGAAAACATTATTCACAGCTGGATCTGGTGTAAAAATGTTAAACAACCAAGTACACAAAGGAAGCTGAAAATGGTAAACAGTGTTTTTCCTATATTATAGTTGTAATAACAGAAAGGAAGTAATGTGGAGGACAACAATACAAAATGATTTAACATCCAGAAAACAGCTGGGTCTGTTTTATTTAGAAAATATTCATAGACTTATTCATTTCCAACAAAGCAATCAATATCCAACGGTTGTAAACAATGAGTAATTGTACTGATACTGACTTATTAGTCCCGCGGGAAGTTTATAGACTTTCAAGGTTAAAACCCGAGGTTCGATTAGCCTACATAGCCAATTGTGCATCTTTATACTAAAAAATAACAAAAACAACAATTAACGTAATAAATACTACTGTGTTTTAACCAATGGACGGGCCCGGCATGGCCAGGTGGTTAGGGCACTCGACTTGCAATCTGCGGCTCCCGGGTTCGAATCCCCGTCACACCAAACATACTCGCCCTTTCAGCCGTGGGGGTGTTATAATGTGACGGTCAATTCCACTATTCGTTGGTAAAAGAGTAGTCCAAGATTTGGCGGTGGGTGGTGATGACTAGCTGCCTTCCCTCTAGTCTTACACTGCTAAATTAGGGACGGCTAGCGCAGATAGCCCTCGTGTAGCTTTGCGCGAAATTCAAAAACAAACAAACAAACCAATGGACGACACTGATATATTTCTAACTTAAACCAATCAATTCGAATAAAATTTTAGTTAGTAATTTACAAACATTACAGTATTTCTTACTTTTTAAAATAGATTATATAACTTCAGGAATACTAAATTTTAAAGCAACGCTTTGCGTCATATTCCACCTATCCTTTGATAAAGTAATGCGTTCCTCATGAAGAACACACACCAGTTGTGTCTTGTTGTTGTTGTTTTAGTTGGAAAGTAATAGTAGTACGTAGAATATATTTCTGTTATATTGTACTCTTTCTCATTAACATATATAGATAGCACTTATGAGAGTTAAAATACGTAGTGTTTGTATCGAAAATAAGGAAAAATAGCCGTACTCACAGATATATATATATATTAAGGTACAATTACAAAACAAGGGTTGTTTTTTGTTTTGGATGGACCACAAAATATCAACGACAAGTTTAAGCCTATCGCTGAACTTGATACTGTAAATTAGCTCAAACATATGAAAGTGTAATTATGCTTCGGTGTTTTTATAGAAGTAATATTCCTGTATCTAATTCAGGTTGGAAACGAAACCATTACTTATATTTGAACTCAGGGCCGTTGTCGAAGCCCCTTCGGCCACTAAAGAGCTTGAGGTTCGAGAAGGCCCAAGCTGTTGTGACATAGCGGACGCTTCGAATATATAAAAATGTGGAGTTATTTTGTTTCAATTGAAATATACGGTATATTTAATATAACATATTTAGAGCATAATTACGTCAAGTTTATTGTGTTAATTCAGTACAGCAAAAAAATAAATAAACTTTATTTAATTTAGAGTATATTTTAATAGCGCATTATTAAATTCAAAATTTCTATACGAAACGCGCTATTTAAGTTGTTCTATTTAACACTTTTTTGCATAAATGTTTGGCAACTTGCGCGGCCACGTAAAACGTCTATAAACTATTATTGTGTTTGTTTGTTATGAATTTCGCGCAAAGCTACTCGAGGGCTATCTGCGCTAGCCGTCCCTAATTTAGCAGTGTAAGACTAGAGGGAAGGTAGCTAGTCATCACCACCCACCGCCAACTCTTGGGCTATTATTTTACCAACGAATAGTGGGATTGACTGTCACATTATAACGCCCCCACGGCTGAAAGGGCGAGCATGTTTGGTGGAACGGGAATTCGAACCCGCGACCCGCAGATTGCGAGTCGAGCTCCCTAACCACTTGGCCATGCCGGGCCCCTATGATTGTGAGACACGCTCTTACAGACACGAGTTAATTATATCACACATCTGGCAAGTGGTAGAACATTCGGGAGCTAATTCGAAAGAACGTGTATAAACTTTTAGTGTTTTTATTTGTTTGTTGAATTTCGTGCAAAATTACTAGAGACATATCTGCGCCAGCCGATAGCCTAAGTGATAGACTTGAGTAAAGGTAGCTAGCTATCCACCCACTCACTCTTGGACATCTCTTTACAAACGAACATGGGAGTAACAGTCACAATATAACGCCTCCACGACTAAAAGGCGAGCATGTTCGGTGATGGGATCTCAGCCCGTGACCAACAGATTGCAAATTGAGTGTCCTAACAATCAGGTCACGCCAGGCTACGTTCCGTAGTTTGAGAAACTGTCATGAACAAAGTATGCTGGGAACAGCTGGCGGATGGATCAGAAAGCATTAAAAGCAAATAGTTTGAAAATATAATTAATCTATGAAAAACATAAACCGAGAAATATCTTAACGAGTAGACATAAAACAAATATTAAATTAATCAATAATCGATATAATTAATAATACTTATTAAAGAAGCCTAAAACAGTAACATAGCGTACATGATATACTTATTTTAATTCGTAATACATTCATAGTATTAGTAGCTGATAATGAAATGAAAGAACGTTATGACCAGTACAGAGAAAATGATAATGAAGTAACAGAAAAATAATTAACGAAGATAGTAAAAGATACATTGGAACTCGACATAACGTTAGCAAAACATGGTCTTGTGTGGGTTAAATTCATTTTCCCCACATAATTAATAAAAAAAAGGAATATGTAAAATATGGAAAACTTAACCCGCCCATGATTAGCATGTGTTTTAAAACTAGACGTAGTGTTTTGTTTGTTTTGAGACTAAATATACAGCTGACTCATGAAGATTTTTATTTCTGGAAGTATAAAACTACTCTATAATCTCGTGCAGAACGTTGTTTGCGTATAAACTACCTTATGATATGGTGGAAATTAGAACTCAGGTTGAAAACAAACTTTACAGTGAGTAGTACAGCTAAAACTTTAACCAAAATTGAAAGACGCGTTTTACTAGATGTATTTAACAGGATAATTGTAATAGTTATGTACTTGGCAGAGGAAATTGAAACTTTTTTGCTGAACTGTTGACAACTTAAATTATTCTGGAAATGTGCATTGTTTAGCACATTGTAATTGATGGAAAAGTTTGATCCATAATGAATAAGCACGTTCGTATGTTCATAAACAACATAGCGCCGTTATTTGAGCCCTGAAGCTCAGAAGA